AACTCAGCCAGGAGTCTTTCCTCTGTCAGAGAGCAGAATTTGGGGGGTCCGAGATGGAATTTTTTTAATTTTGGAGTTACATTTCCAACAAAAAATCATTTTTCCAAAAGGAAAAATACGGAATTTCGGGACATGGGGGCGTGGAGGGGTTGAAATCATCATTCCAAGATCTCGGAAGGTCTTTTCCAACTCCAAGTCCTGCAGCTTGGTCGGGTCCTGCTCACCTTTAGGGAATGAATTTGGGAAGCTGGAAAAGCTTCCAGAAAAATCCGGGATTTTCCGGCTGATCATTCAGCATGGCCTTGAATTTGCTGTGGTTTAGAAATGCTTTTTCCTCAATCCAGAGGGAAATTCAGATGGAAAACGGGAAGGAAAGGGAAATTTCCTGGCATCTCCAGCTGTTCCCATTGGAATCTCCTCCCAGAGAGATTCCAGAGCCGCTTTGCTTTTCCGGTTCTTTAATTTGGAGAGAGAAAAGGGGGGAAAAACGCAGCAGGATTTTCCAGGATTCCTTGGAACCCATGGAAAGGCACTTCCAAACAAAGGGAAAGCAGGAATCCCCTGACTCAGGCAATGAGCCGGGAATGATTCCCGGAGCCGGGAATGATTCCTGGAGCCAGGAATGGTTCCCAGAGCCAGGAATGATTCCCAGAGCCAGGAATGATTCCCGGAGCTGGGAATGATTCCCTGAGCCAGGAATGATTCCCAGAGCTGGGAATGATTCTTGGAGCTGGGAATGATTCCCAGAGCCAGGAATGATTCCCAGAGCCGGGAATGATTCCCAGAGCCGGGAATGATTCTTGGAGCTGGGAATGATTCCCGGAGCCAGAAATGATTCCCGGAGCTGGGAATGATTCTCGGAGCTGGGAATGATTCCCGGAGCCAGGAATGATTCCCAGAGCCGGGAATGATTCCCGGAGCCATCCCAGTTGCTCCCGGTTAAACATCCCATCACCAGGAGAGGACCACTGGGAGAATTTCCAGTGCTGGGCCCCGGAGCAGTGACAAATGGGCTCGGAGCCCCTTTGGATGGACAGTGAGGATTGGGAAGGATTTGGGATTCAGGGGAATTAGGGATGGAACCACGATCAGCCGGGGCTTGTGGTGTGATGATGCCAGTGGCGTGGATAAAGCTCGGATGCAGTTTTCCCTGGATTCCGCCATCCCTGGGTGCTGTTTTCCCAGGATTCCGCTATCCTGGGTGCTCTTTTCCCTGGATTCCGTTATCCTGGGTGCTCTTTTCCCTGGATTCCGTTATCCTGGGTGCTGTTTTCCCAGGATTCCGCTATCCCTGGATATTTCGAACTTCTTTAGATCCCAAGGCCCGTCCTTCCCCCAAAACACATCCGGCTCTTTCCTGGACCCACTGAGGATGAACATTCCCAGCGAGGAGGCGGGATGGGGGCGCTTTTCCCGGGATTCTGAGCTCTTCCAGCGGGAAGCAGGAGGTGCCCCCTCCCCTGCTCAGCAGCAGCGATTTTGTTCCTTTATTTGCTCATTTCAGGTCATTTTCTGCTCGAGCGGCGCCTTTGTGCCGCAGGGCCGGGAGCTCGGGATCACTGTTCCGGCTGGGAATCCCCTGGGGGCATCGCTCCCGTTATCCCGAGCTCTGAAATCGCTGCTTTTCCCTTTGGAATTGCCAGGGTTTCGCTCTGCCTTTCCTTGGGGGTTTTTTTGGGGGTTGGTTTTGAGTTTTGGTTTTACCTGCTCTGAATTCGCTGCTTTTTGCCCTTTTCAAACCCCCCCACCAACCCTCAATGAAACAATTCCCAAATTTGCTCTTCTGGTGTCCAAATGGTGCTGAAAATATAAGGAATGTGGGGAATCTTTCCTTTCCTTTCCTTTCCTTTCCTTTCCTTTCCTTTCCTTTCCTTTCCTTTCCTTTCCTTTCCTTTCCTTCCCTTCCCTTCCCTTCCCTTCCCTTCCCTTCCCTTTTCCCTTTTCCCTTTTCCCTTTTCCCTTTTCCCTTTTCCTTCCCTTTCCCCTTTCCCTTCCCGTGTTTTCCCTCCTGGGGATTTGGAATTCCCAGCAGTAGGAAGTGGGAAGTTGAATCAGAGCATTTTCCAGGGATTTCTCTTCCTACAGAACATCTGCCGAGCTTCCCTCCTCACCCCTTCCCGTGAAATTCCCGCAGATTTCCCTCTGGGAGCTGGGGAGGAGTTATGGAATAACCCCTGGATCCGGCTGAAGGTGGACAAAGGACAATCTTCCGTCCCTAAAACCTTTCCTGTCAGCTCCTCTGGTTTTGAGGCTTGACATCCCATAATTACCCCACCTAACCCAAATCGCGGAGCAAACACTTCCAGCTGTTCCCTTAAAACCGGCACCGGGGAAATCCCGGGAATGCTGGTTCCTGCCTCTCCTGGGTGACTGGATGTGCTCCCACAATTCCAAATGTTCTTTGTGTTATCCCCGAGCAGCACCCGACGGTTCTGGCGTCACCCTCGGATTCTGGGTGACGGAGAGATCCGGAATTCCTTGAAAATTCCATGAAAACAGAAATCTGGTACCTTTGGGGTTTGTTTTTTGTTTTTGAGGGACGCTGCTTTGTCCTTCCTGGCAAGGCTCGGTGGCCGATTCCACCTGGAATATCCGGAGGTCACGGGGACGATCCCGGGATGGGAGAGATCTGCGTCTGACATCTCCGGCCGGGCTCTGGAGCTCCTCCCAGCCTGGGAATTGCCCCGGGATCTGCTCAGGGATTTTCCGAGGCTGGTCCTGGGATGAGCCGCCCCTCCCCCAGCGGGGGATTCTGCTCCCAGGCTGGGAGAGCTGGGAATGTTCCCCTGGAGAAAAGAAGGATCCAGGGAGAGCTCAGAGCCCCTTCCAGGAGAGCTGGAGAGGGACTGGGGACAAGGCATGGAGGGACAGGACACAGGGAATGGCTCTGAAGTGGAAAAGGGGGGATTTGGGTGGGATCTTGGGAAGGAATTCCTGTCTGTGAGGGTGGGGAGGGGCTGGGATGGAATTCCCAGAGGAGCTGTGGCTGCCCCTGGATCCCTGGAGGTGTCCAAGGCTGGGCTGGATGGGGCTGGGAGCAGCCTGGGACAGTGGGAGGTGTCGGGAATGGGACAATCCCTGAGGCCCCTTCCAGTCAAACCATCTCTGATTTTATCCCACGGATTGTCCTGGGCTCCCCTCGTTCAGAGAATCCCAATTGGGATTCAGAGGATCCAAACTGGGATTTAGCAAATCCCAACTGGGATTCAGAGGATCCAAACTAGGATTTAGTGAATCCAGAATGGGATTCAGCAAATCCAAACTGGGATTTAGCGAATACGAACTGGGATTAAGCAAATCCAAGCTGGGATTTAGCAAATCCAGACTGGGATTCGGAGGATCCTGTCTGGGATTCAGAGGATCCGAACTGGGATTCAGCAAGTCCAAACTGGGATTCAGCAAGTCCAAACTGGGATTTAGCAAATCCAGACTGGGATTCAGCAAATCCAAATGGATTTAGCAAATCCAGACTGGGATTCAGCGAATCCAAACTGGGATTCAGCAGGAGAAGCTGCTGGGGCTCCTCCAAGGGCAAGGGACGGCCTCAGACTGCAAATTCCTTCTCCAGCACTGAAATCCAGCTCTGTGAATCCCAGGAAGAGCTCTCGGGGCCGCGCTGACGTCCGTCAGCGTTATCTGTTTGTGCTGCCAGCGGGAGCAGCCGGCCTCGGCTTGTTCCGACAGCTTTGTGTCCTTATCTCCCGCAGAAGGGCCGGGATTGAATTCCCCTCCTGCGGCTGCTCGATCCCCGGCCACCGGCAGCACCCTTTCCTCGCCTGCCCTGGGCATCGCGCCTTTTATCCCTTCCAGCCGGGATGGGCTCCCGAGGAGGCTCGGAGCGGTGACTGATCCCTGCCAGGAGCTCATTTCCATGCTGGGGATGATGATGATGATGATGATGGGGATGATGACGGCGTTTCCCCCGGCCCAGGCCGCCATTCGGGGGCTGTCAAGGAGAAAATTAACGTGGCCGCGGGCCAGGGATGTTTCACGGCCGAGTGCACCGGGAGGGGAAGGCAGGATGGATTCCTCGATGGGAGGCAGGAGGAGCAGCTGATGTCAGGCGGCTCCAGCTCCATCCCCAGCATCATCCCATGAGCTGGGAAAAAAACATCCAGGGTTTTTCATTACCTGCTCCATTTGGAACAGAAATTCGGAAGAGTTGGGATCGATTTATCTTAATTCTATGAATTCCTGGTGATGTCAGGCAGCTCCAGCTTGGGATCATCCCAGGAGCTGGGAAAAAACCCAGCTCGGAGCAGCAGAGCAGGTGAAACTGGGAAGAGCTGGGATTGATTTGTTTTAAATCTCTGAATTCCTGCTTTGTCAGGGAGCTCCAACTTTTTCGTTGGGATCATCCCAGGAGCTGGGAAAAGCTGGGAAAAATCATCCAGAGCTTGGGTGCTCCCCACCTGCTCCACTCGGAACAGGAAGTTGGAAGAGCTGGGATTGATTTGTTTTAATTCTCTGAATTCCTGCTTTGTCAGGCAGCTCCAGCTCCTTCACTGGGATCATCCCAGGAGCTGGGAAAAGCTGGGAAAAACCATCCAGAGCTGGGATTAATTCATTTTAATTCCATTAATTCCTGCTTTGTCACATCAGAACTTCCCAGGGATCTGCAGGGATCCAAGTGGAGCTGCTGCTCCCTGCCCCTCTCCTCGGAGCGTCACCAAATCCCAAATGGTTTGGGTTGGGAGGGACTTTAAAGCCCCCCGTGGCACGGATGAGGTTCCAGCTTCCGGTGTCCCAGGTTGCTCCAGCTTTTCCCTGGACACTTCCAGGGATGGGAAGTCCAAGGAGGAGCCCTGCCAAGAGGGAAACGGAGGAATTGTGGAGCGTTTCCCCCTCCTGCTCCTCGCTCCGTTATTTCTCTGAGCGTTCTGAGCCACCTGAAGCGGATCCTCGGCACAGAATTCCCAGAGAATTCGTGGCTGTCCCATCCCTGGAAGTGTCCAAGGCCAGGCTGGAGCAGCCTGGGGCAGCGAAGGTGTCCCTGGCCATGGATAAGGATATCCCAAGGTCCATCCCAACCCCGTGATTCCCTGCTGGAGGAGATGGGCTGGCTCTCAGGATCGCCGGGTTTATCATCCCGGAGCCCACAGGATGATAAAGACGAATCATGGATGTCTCACACGCTCCGTGACTCATCCCAAATCCATCTCCCAGGCCGGATATTCCAACCACCACCTCTGGACAAGGTCCAAGAACCTCCCAAATCCCGGAATCGTGATGGATTCGGGGGTGAGGAGCAGACACATTTCCCTGTCCCCATCTCTCCCGATGCTCCACGGCCGCAATTCCTTATATCCTGATGGAAGTTACGGAATTCACTCCGAAATGTTTCATTTTGCTGGGATTGGAAGTGGGAGATCCACCAGCTCCGCCTTTTCCTGGCTCCGGAGCCAGGGTTTGTTGGGTCACAGCAGGGCCGGGTGGGAATTCAGGGAACGTCGCTTCCATCCTGAAGGGATCAAGGAGATGGAATCTTCCCCATCCGGAATCCCTGGGATTCCTGACTTGGCCTTCAAAAATAAGTTCTGTAATTCCAATTTCCATTATTTCCTTGGGGCTTTTTTCCCCAAAAATTCTGTTCAGCTGCTGTGGTTTCTTCCCTGGTTTTTATTTCTCCGGCTGAGAAGTCAGATCAGCCCCATCAGGAATGTTCTGCATTCCCATCAAATCCAGCCCCACGGGGAATGTTCTGCATTCCCATCAAATCCAACCCCATCGGGAATGTTCTGTATTCCCATCAAATCCAACCCCATCAGGAATGTTCTGCATCTCCTCATTCCCATCAAATCCAGCCCCATCGGGAATGTTCTGCATTCCCATCAAATCCAGCCCCATCGGGAATGTTCTGCATCTCCTCATTCCCATCAAATCCAGCCCCATCGGGAATGTCCTGTATTCCCATCAAATCCAACCCCACTGGGAATGTTCTGTATTCCCATCAAATCCAGCCCCATCGGGAATGTTCTGCATTCCCATCAAATCCAGCCCCACTGGGAATGTTCTGTATTCCCATCAAATCCAGCCCCATCGGGAATGTTCTGCATCTCCTCATTCCCATCAAATCCAGCCCCATCGGGAATGTTCTGTATTCCCATCAAATCCAGCCCCATCGGGAATGTTCTGCATTCCCATCAAATCCAGCCCCACTGGGAATGTTCTGCATTCCCATCAAATCCAACCCCATCAGGAATGTTCTGCATCTCCTCATTCCCATCAAATCCAGCCCCATTGGGAATGTTCTGCATTCCCATCAAATCCAGCCCCACTGGGAATGTTCTGCATCTCCTCATTCCCATCAAATCCAGCCCCATCAGGAATGTTCTGCATCTCCTCATTCCCATCAAATCCAACCCCATTGGGAATGTTCTGCATTCCCATCAAATCCAACCCCATCAGGAATGTTCTGCATCTCCTCATTCCCTTCAAATCCAGCCCCATTGGGAATGTTCTGCATTCCCATCAAATCCAGCCCCATCGGGAATGTTCTGCATCTCCTCATTCCCATCAAATCCAGCCCCATCGGGAATGTTCTGCATTCCCATCAAATCCAGCCCCACTGGGAATGTTCTGTATTCCCATCAAATCCAGCCCCATCGGGAATGTTCTGCATCTCCTCACTCCCATCAAATCCAGCCCCATCGGGAATGTTCTGCATCTCCTCGCTCCCATCAAATCCACTCAGTGTTTAAGATTTTTGGGGGGATTTTGGATTTTAAGATTCCGGAGGGCGATTCCAGGCATCTCCCAGATTTCCTGCCCATGGATCGGGGGTCACAGATGATCCCGTCCTGGCTCTCCGAGGCTGGCGGTGTTTTGCCGACCAGCGGCTCCCAGACTTCGCAGATTTCCTTTTCTCATCGCACATTTGTGATTTCAAATCACCCAGCTGTGAGATCGTGCCAGAACCTCGCTGCCAGACACAGGGGCTGTGAAAACAGTAATTTAAAATCTCCGGGAAGCATTCCAGCCGGGAAAAAAAGGGGGAAAAAACCCCCAAAATGCCAACTCGCGTTCGGCATTAAAACCCGGAGGATTTTGGGGGTGGATTTGTCCCAGGGGTCCAACAAACAGCAGGACGGGGGTTGGGCACAGCCAGGGTTTGAGGGAGGATTTTTGGGATCGTCGTTCCGTGATCCCGCGGCTCCCGGTGGCTGCTGCGGCGGGAGCCGGTCATGGAATACTCAGCTCTCCCATCCCTGGCTTCAATCCCTCCAGGAATGTCGATCCCGTTGAGAGTGGCAGGGAAGTGCGTCAGACGCCGGCGCTCGTGGGTTAGGAAAAAATATCCAAAATCGCTTCCAAAGCTTGGATTTGACGCATTTTCAGAGACGTTCAATGAGTTTTTAATTAACTTTGAAATTAATAATATCGGATTCCCATTTTCTCAGAGGGTCCTGGCCCAGGTTTCCCAGAATTTGGGGCTTCCCCATCCCTGGAAGTGTCCAAGGACAGGTTGGAACTGGATGAGCTTTGAGGTCCTTCCCAACCCAAATCATTCCGGGATACTGGGGAACATTCCCAAAAATGCTCTCATTTCCCAAGGATTTTTATCTTCTCAGTATCTCCAGGAACTTCCTGAAAACGCTTTGCCAGTTCTCTGATGTCAAATTAAAATCTTTGCTGGAGGGATCGTTCCTTGACTCCTTAAACTCGGAACTTTTCCTGGATTGCTCCGACGTGTCCCGGTTTTCTCGGCGCTATTGAAAAGTGGGATTTTCCCCCATTTCCTCAGTGCTGATAAAGCAGTTTCTGGTTATCTCAGATCCTTTTCCTGCTTCCTGTTGTTCCCGTTCCCAAGGATTTATCACATGAAACAGCCTCGTGTTCTCCCCGGAAATAAATCCCAGCCTTGTGGGAAGCGGAGATTCCAAAGGAAACTCATGGAAGATCGTGGATGGAGCTGCTGTGCATTCCCAATTCCCAAACCCACGGGTTCCTCCGTCAGCATCCAGAACACAACAAAGGAAAAAAATCCTCCCTCTTCCTATTTTCCTGCATTTTCCATGGATTGAAAGCTTGGATTTGACCCTTCAGCTTGAAGAGCAACGTCTCATTCCAAAGGAAACGCTGGAATTTCCACGAGTGCCGGATTTCTTTGGGAGTCAAGGCTTGGGGACGCCGGTGGGATCCCCAAGGAGCCGTTACTGCGTCACCACAAATTCTGTGGAGATCAAGGAGTTAAAAAAAGAAACAAACCCAAAACTTCCCTTTTTGGGTTAAAAATGGGAAGTTTCTGTTCCGTGCTGCTCTTCCTGCCTGGCTCGGTGGTGTCCGTGTCCTTGGAATGCTGGAGGTGATGGACAAAGCTTTTGTCGCTTCCTTCTCCGTGACTTTTCCATAAAAAGTGGAATTCCGGCTGCGGCAAAATGTTCGGCTCATACGGCACTGACGCGGTGTCCCTGGTGCTGAGAGAAACACCTTTGGCCATCCTGAATCCCTGTGGATATCCCGATTTCCTGTGGATATCCCAGATCCTTGTGGATATCCCAAATTCCTGTGGATATCCCGAATTCCCGTGGATATCCCAATTCCCTGTGGATATCCCAAATTCCCGTGTATATCCCAAATCCCTGTGGATATCCCAATTCCCTGTGGATATCCCAAATTCCCGTGGATATCCCAAATTCCCGTGGATTATCCCAAATCCCCGTGGATTATCTGAAACCCCTGTGGATATCCCTATTCCCTGCGGATATCCTGAATCCCTGTGCATATCCCAAGTCCCTGTGCATATCCCAAATCCCTGTGACCGTCCCAAATCCCTGTGGATATCCCGAATCCCTGTGGATATCCCAAGTCCCTGTGCATATCCCAAGTCCCTGTGCATATCCCAAATCCCTGTGGATATCCCAAATCCCTGTGGATATCCCAAATCCCTGTGGATATCCCGATTTCCTGTGGATATCCTGAATCCCTGTGGATATCCCAAGTCCCTGTGCATATCCTGAATCCCTGTGGATATCCCGAATCCCTGTGGATATCCCAAGTCCCTGTGCATATCCCAAAACCCTTTGACCGTCCCAAATCCCTGTGGATATCCCAAATTCCCGTGGATATCTGAAATTCCTATGGATATCCCAATTTCCTGTGGCCATCCCAAATCCCTGTGGCCATCCCGAATCCCCGTGGATATCCCAAATCCCCATGGATATCCTAAATTCCCGTGACCATCCCAAATCCCCGTGTCTGCCTTGATGCTCGCCGCTCATTCTGGGTGAAATCCATAGCATTTTGGTGACGCTCACACCATTCTCCCATGGAATTCCAGGATGGTTTGGGTGGGAAAGGACCCAAAATCCCACCCAGTTCCATGGTCAGGGACACCTCCCACCATCCCAGGCTGCTCCAAGCCCCATCCAACCTGGCTTGGAACATTTCCAGGGATAAGGAAATCCACAAATTCCCTGGAAAAATTCAGAGAACCACAGATTACCTGGAAAAATTCTCCATTTCCTGTCCTGCTGTCCGATCTTTTCCCAGCACCCTCGGACAATCCTACTCCCCAGAGATCCCACCTGGGATGTCCAGGCTCCCTTTTCCACAGCCAAAACGCCGATCCAGGTGGTTATTTCCCCCCCTAAAAAAAACCCTGGAAAATCACAGCTGGTGAGTCAGGATGTGCCCAGACTCCTCATCCTGGGAGAACATTCCGGTGGAAGACGTGGAGACGAAGCCCCTCGTGCGTCTCCGCGAGTCTTCGCCGCGGAAATTTAATGAACTATTAGCGGGTCGTTAACATTGCTGAAAACGACCTCATTTTCACTCGTTTCCGTGCCCGGTGAGCCGCGCCAGAAGGATCTCTGAGGACACTCGGACGCCGTGTCGGAATTCCAGCGCGGCAGGGCTGAGTGAAAGACGGGAATTTATGGATTTCTGGGATGGTTCTGCCGCGCTCCCGTGCCCGTCCCTCTGTGTTTATCCCTGCTGCTGGAGCCACTTCCCTCTGTTCCCTGCTCCAAAAATGTATTTAATGAATTTTTGGGATGCAAATTCCAGGGGTTTTTTTTGAGGGTTATCCCAGCTTTCCCATGCTGCCAGAAGGGGATTAAATTCATGCTTGTCAGAGGATGCGTCGCTCCACGATTGCGAGGAGGGGATTCCAAAAATCCTCCCCTGGCTCCTGGCCGTGGGTTCCCATCCATTCCATTCCATTCCATTGGTTTTACTCTTCCAATCCTGCTGGATTGTTCTTTCGGGATGTTTTTGGAAGGATTTCTTTTCCCTGGAAAACGCCGCGTGCAGCTCGGATCGGCCAAGATTTGGGAAGGGATCTTTATCCATGGAGATGTTCCAGGAGTGTTGGGCATTCCGAGGCTCTTCTCCATGGGAAGATTTTCCCACCGAAGGACTTTTTATGGGATGATGACGGAGACACTCGGAACTTCGGGATACTCGGGAAGACCTGGCACCAACTCCTGCCTCTTCAGAGCTCTGGGATTCATGGAAGCAACCGGAGGTGTTGCCTTCAAACCCCTCGTGTTTTCCGAGGGATAAACTCAGAAGGGGAAGAAGAAGAAGAACTGGGATGGAGGTGACGGTTTTAAAATCGTCACTTGGAATTATCCGGTTGTTCTTCAGCTCGAGGTGTTGCCGACTCTTTATATCTGACTTGTTTGGGGTCACAGATGATCTTCCAGAGCCAAAATCTTTAATTTTTCATGATCTTTTGTGTTTTTGTGATCTTCCAGAGCCAAAATCCGTGTTTTGATCTTCTGGTTTTTGTGATCTTTTGTGTTTTCTTGATCTTCCAGAGCCAAATTTCGTATTTTGATCTTTCATTTTTTTTGTGATCTTTCATATTTTCGTGATCTTTTGTATTTTCATGATCTTCCAGAGCCGGAATTCCTCCTCTGCTCTGCTGATGAATCCCGGGGATGTTTTTATTTTGGCCAAGCTGTTGGTTCAGGTCATGGTTTACCCCAAGCCAGAGATCCCAACCCTTCCAGGCAGAGATCGGGAAGCGGGGAATGGATGTTTGCAGCAGGTTTGGGCTCTCCCACTGTTTCAGGTTCCAAAATTCCGAGTGAATTTGCTCGGCTGTTCCCCAGTTTGGGGCTCTTTGTGGTTTTCCAGGGTTTTCCCAGCTGCTGGAATGGGGAGCACGAGGACATTTCTGGGCTTCAGGTGACTTTTCTACACCTCAAATGACCCAGTTTGGAATCGTGGGATGAATCAAAGAGTGGTTGGGGTTGGAAGGGACCTTAAAGACCATCCAGAGACACGGGAATGCTGGACAGGAATTTTTAGGGATCTCAACCCGTTCAGGAACTCCCGGAACGTGCATTTCGGAAATGGCCGAGGATCTTTTTAACCAATCCCATGGGCAGGAAGGGGGTTACCGGGGTCATTCCCTGCGCATTCCAGCCGATTCCAGGAGTTTCTAGGAAGGCTGGAGAGGGATCGGAGCAAAGAGGGGCTGCTCCTTCTGCCAGAGAGGCGAGTCCTCTCCATCCAGTGCCGCTGGTGGTGCCGAATCCCTCCTCCCTCCCCGATGAGTAATTACCGCATCTGTGACTAATTAGCCAAGGTGGGAAGGATGCGGAGCCAGGCCCGTCCTGCCTTTCCAGGGAGGAAGGACAGGGAAGAGGCTCTTGGAGGAGGCTCGGAGGAGGAAATTGGATTGTGCCCACTTGAGCACCTGGAGTGGAGCTGAGCTCATTCCCACAGCCCCTGGAATGAGTCCGGGGGGGTTGTAGGGCCCTTCGGTTCCTGGGAATGATCCCGCACCTGGGCCCTTGTCTGGGCTTTGTTGTGCCTGGGGTTGGCGTTTCCCGGTTTTCCGCTCCGGTTCCTCTCCCGAGACAAAGGACGGGGGGCACGATCCGGGGTGGATGGAGCAGCTGCAGCTCCTGCCTGAACAACACCGTAATTAGTCCGGCTGTTAACGAGTAACCGCCCCCGCTCCGGCACAGCGGTCGAGCCGGGAGAGGCCGAGCTCCTTCCAGCGCCATTCCTGCATGGAAGGGCCTGTCCAGGCATTTCCAGTTTTGTCCCCACGGAATTAAACCTCGTTCTTCTCCTCTTGGCAGGTGTCGGCACCAGGAATTACTACAGGAAGATTGGCTACGAGCTGGAAGGGCCCTACATGGTGAAAAGGCTGGAATGATGTTCCCGGAGATCCTGGGAGAACGGGAAGGACACAGCGATTATCCAGGGAATGACGCTTAGCCCGGGAATAAAGCCCAGGACTCGCTTCTGCCAAAGCCCGCGGCCGCACAGAGCTCCAGAGTTGGGCTTGATGATGCTGGTGGTCCCTAAATTCCATAAAATTCCAGGATTTTAGAGCAGCCCTGGGATCATCCCATTCCCCCCGGAGAGGCCGGGGACATTCCAGGTGTCTCAATCCTTGGGATGGGCTCCAACAGCCGCATTTGAGGGGTGAAATTTCAGGATTTGGGGACCCTCTGGAGTGGCCTGGCGGGAAAAACGCCTCTTTTCCGATGCTGTCGGCTTTTTAAGAGCGAATAAATTCCGTGTTTATTTATTTACTCTGGGCCCAGCTGCTTCTGTCCATCCCAAGCGATCCCAAATCCCGGGATCGGGATGAAAAGCCAGATTGTCCCTCGGAGGTGACACCACCAGGGAGGAGCTCCCCTCTCCCAGCAGATCCCGTCGGGCTGGGGTTGTGATCCCGGAGTATCTCCAAGGGTGCCGCCATTGTCTCATCCCTGCGGGAATCGGGAATGTTCCGGCACCGCCCGCCCGCAGCGGGTCCCAGGAGAGAGGAGCAGAGCCCATCGTGATCAAACTTTGCTGCAGCCTCCTGCTTCCCAAACGATCCTGTTCTTTTTCACCTTGGGAAAAAAAAGGGAGTGGGATTGAAGTTCATGGAATTCGGGGATGGAAAAGGGAAGGGAGACCCTTCCTGGTGTCCTGAGATTCCCAGTGAAGCCCCTGGATCCTGAAATTCCTTCCCGGAGAGGAGTCGGGATGGGGCTGGATCCAATCCCAGGCTGGGAATGGAGGGAATTCCCTGGGAAAGGGGAGCTTGGGATGGGATCTTGGGAATGAATTCCTGTCTGGGAGGGTGGGGAGGCCCTGAAAGTGAATTCCCAGAGAATCCCTGGGAGTGTCCAAGGAGAAGTTGGAGTGTCCCTGGACATCGGCAATTCCAGAGCTCCAGAAGCTCAACTTCAATCCGGGAGCGAGCGCCCGGAGCTCCGACCTTTTCCGCCTGTTTTTTGTGGGATTTCAACCAAAAGCGGGGCTGGAATCCCGGCAGGAGCCCTCGGAAGCTTTGCCGGCGCCAAGGGCTCGGAAAAGCCGGGAAGAGGAGGAGGAATTCCATGAGGAAGGCTCTGGGTGATCCGGAGCACGGGGTCGGAGAGACGCCAAAATATCCCGGGATAGAGTTGGGATGATCCAAGGAAAACCGGATTTTTCCATCCCCTGGAAAAAAAGGGTCAGGCTCAGCTGTCGACACCATCAAAGGACAAAGTCTGCCTTGGGAGAGATGCAATTCCTGCTGGGAATGGGTGAAATTTCCCGGAAAATTGGTTCTCCTGTCACCGCTGACACAATTACGGATGGCGCTGACGTCGGAGCCGTGACAGATCCGGTTTTTTTCCGGAGCCGGCCGAGCTCACGCTTCCCTGGGAGCTCGGCCCTCCGGCAAAACCGGGAAACGTCGGATCCGTTCCCTGCTTTTTTTATTTTGTTGGAAGCCGATCCGTTGGGAGCTGACAGGGAAACAAAGCAGTTTTTCCCTCGGGGGTTTATTTTTAGCTTTTCCCATTTATTTCCCGGCTCATTCCGGGCTCAGCCGCGCAGAAACTTCCCGGGTTCTCGGGGATTTTCGGAAGCGCCGCGGATTCCTTGGGATATCGAGGCCGCCGAGATGTTCCCGGTGTTTTGTGTGCTGGGATTGGGAGAGCAGGGCTGGAAAAACCCTTCCCAGGGAAAAAATCTGGGAAAATTCCCAATTATTCCCTTTTTTCCTCTCATCCTGCACCGGAGCTGCTCCAAGGGATTTTCTGGCTGGTTTGGTTTTTTTCCAGCGCTCCGGAATTTTGGGGGATTATTTCAGTTTTTTGCTCCATGAGAATTCCCACTCTCAGGAATCCGTAGGATAATCAGCCCGGAGCTGCCAAATTCCAGCCCCTCCCCCTCCCCAATGGAAAAAAGTTGCTTTTTCACCACTCTTTAATTAAAAACATCCAAAAAGACCAAAAAACCCCAAAATTTGTCCCTAAAACCCAACGGATCCCAGGATCTGCCCAATCCCAAACCTGTGGAAGTGAAACCTGGAGCTGGGAAGACCCAAAACTTCCAGGATAAAGGTTGGAACAGAGGGAAAAAGTGGGAAAAATTCCCAGGAATTCCAAGCACCACGGGGTGGGAGCTGGGGTGAGGTCGGGTATCCAAGGAAGTGCAGGGTGATGGGAATTCCGTCTTCTCCCGAGGATCCATCCCTTTCTCCCGGCTGGAATTCCGGACAATGAAATCCTCCGCGGATTTGGAGCACCCTGAGATCCCATCCCAAGGAATTCTGGGATTCAGGACACTCAGGATCCATCCCGAGGGATTTTTATGGAATTTTTGTGGAAAAATCTCCTCATTCTCTTGGGGGGAAAACTCCAGATTTTGGCAAATCCCCAAAAAAAAATAACCCCAAAGTATTCTGGGGTAGAACAAGAGGGGATTTTATCCCAAATTCCTGCGGCGTTCCCAGAAAACGGGAAGGATGGAATTCCAATCCCATCCCGATTCTCCTGGATTGGGGATCCTGGCTCCTCCCAGATCTCTGGATTCCCATGGGGAAAAACTAAAAATAATTAAAATTTTAAAATTAAAAATAATTAAAAATTAAAAATTGAAAGCTAAAAATAATTAAAAATAATTAAAAATTAAAAATAATTTAAAATAAAAAATTAAATATAATTATAAATTAAAAATTGAAAATTAAAATAATTAAAAATAATTAAAATAATTAAAAATAATTAATAATTCAAAATAATAAAAATTTAAAATAATTAAAAATAAAAATTTAAAAATAATTATAAATTAAAAATTTTAAATTAAAAATAATTAAAAATAATTAAAATTTAAAAAAAAGAAAATAAAAAATTAAAAATTTCCTCGGGAATTTTGCTGCTGGAATTTTGCTGGAGACGAAGCGGATTGGAGCCGGTGGCTCATTCCCAGCTGGAATTCTTTTGGAATTCCATGTCCTCCCCACGTCCGTCGGGTTTCGGGAAAATCCCCGCAGCCGGCGCCGCCGGGCGGAAAAATGAGGATTTGTCCAAATTTTTCCATCTTTTTTTGGGAATTCCATCTCCATCGCCAGCGGGAATTTGGGATGAGGATGGAGATCCAGAGGGAAGGGACGGGTGGGATTTTGGGAAGGAATTCCTGGCTGGAATTCCCAGAGAATCCTTGGGATGGGTTTGGATCCCAGATCCGGCCTTGGGATCCACAGGGATTTCGCCTTTCCCTGGATAAACGCAGCCCCCGGATCTCTGCCAGCCACGGGATTTGTCCCACGGAAAAACACGGGAAGGTCTGAGGCATCCGAGGAATCACAGCTCCGGCATTCCGGGAAGCTCCAAGGCAGGAAAAAAACACGGAAAACTTACGGGATTTTTCCCCGCCTTCACCTGGGAATTCGAGGAATCGCCGAGCCACATCCCTCTTTTTTCTTCGGGTGAGGCGAGGCTGTGGATGAAGATACGGAATTACATCCCGGGAAAAATCGGGATTTCACCCACCAGCAGCACCGCTCTCATCCCAAAGCGTGGAATTCCGGGAGCGGTTCCCGCTGGGAAACACCTTCCTCCGCTTCCCGAGGCCGATTTTTGGGATTTCCGGAAATGAAAAGTTGGGAATTTCCTCCCAAATCCGTCGTTTTCCAGGTTTCCCATCCGCCATTCCCAAATTTTTGGGATTTCCCTGGATTTTCCCTTTGTTTTTTCCCGGTTAAATTGTTACTCCTGAGCTGCGGGAAGGAGGGAAAATCCCAGGGAATCGTCTCCTCTTCCCGTTTTTATCCCGCTCCCCTCGGCCTCCGGAGCGATTCCGGCTCCCGGAGTTGTTCCCAGGGAGATCCAGGGATTCCTTCCCTCGGAATTATTCCATCCGCTCGTTTTTCCAATTCACGGGGTTGTAAGAGTGAAAAAATGGGGGAAAACCCCAAAAAACTTGGGAAAACAAGGAAAAAAAAGAGGTGTCAGGAATTCCAAGGAAACGCTCGGCGGTTTTTCCCAGCGGGGAAAAAAAAAGTATTCCCAAAGTTTCATTAATTTGTGGAGTTTTGTGGAATTAAAAATTCAATTCAATTCAATTAATTAAATAAAATTAAATAAATTTAATAAAATTAAATAAATTAAATAAATTAAAATTAAATAAAATTAAATAACATTGAATAAAGTTAAATAAAATTTAATAAATTAAATAAAATTCAATAAAATTCAATAAATTAAATAAAACTAAATAAAATTAAATAGATTAAATAAAATTAAATTAATTAAATAAAAGTAAATAAAATTAAATAGATTAAATAAAATTAAATTAATTAGATTAAATAAAATTAAATAAAATTAATAAAATTAAAATTAAATAAATAAAACAAAATGAATTAAGTAAAATTAAATAAATTTAATACAATTAAATAAATTAAATAAAATTAATTAAATAAAATTAATTAAAATTAAATAAATTAAATAAAATTAATTAAATAAAATAAATTAAAATTAAATAAAATTAAATAAATTAAATAACATTAAATAAAATTAAATAGATTAAATAAAATTAAATAAATTAAATAATATAAAATAAAATAAAATTTATTAAATAAAATTAAATTAATTACATAAAATTAAATAATAACAAAAATAATCCAGCCACTGAGTGGGGGGAAAAAAAAGGGAGGAAAAGGAGGAATTTTCCTGGAATCCTCTCATGTGGGAAATCCCAAAAATATCCCGGAAAAACGGGGCCAGGAGAGCTCCGGGATGGTTGGGGGTGGGAAAAGGATGGGGGAAAAAGGATGGAAAAATCTTAATTCCGGATGGGAAAATCTTAATTCCGGATGGGAAAATCTTAATTCCGGATGGGAAAATCTTAATTCCGGATGGGAAAAGGGGTGGAGAAAATTTGGGGTGGGAAAAAGGATGGGAAATATTAATTAAGGGGAAGAAATCTTAGTTAAGGATGGGAAAATCTTAATTAAGGATGTGAAATCTTAATTAAGGGTGAGAAAAAGAATGGAAAATTCTAAATTCAGGGTGGGAAAGAGCATGGGAAATCTTAATTAAGGATGGAGGAATCTTAATTAAGGATGGAAAATCCTAATTGAATCTAAATTCCAGATGGGGAAAAAGGATGGAAAAACCTAAATTCAGGGTGGGAAAAAGGATGGGAAATCTTGATTAAGGGTGAGAAATCTTAATTCAGGATGGGAAAAAAGGTGGAAGGAATCTTAATTAAGGACAGAAAATTTTAATTAAGGATGGGGAAAAGGATGGAGGAATCATAAAATTAAGGATGGAGGAATCTTAATTAAGGATGGAAAATCTTAATTCCAGATGGGAAAAATGATGGAAAAATCTAAATCCAGGGTGGGGAAAAGGATGGGAAATCTTAATTCAATTAAGGATGGAGGAATCTTAATTGAGGATGGGAAATCCTAATTCCAGGTGGGAAAAAGGGTGGGAAATCTAAATTAAGGACAGAGGAATCTTAATTCCAGAAAGGAAAAAGGATGGAAAATCTTCATTCAGGGTGGGGAAAAAGGATGGGGAAATCTTAATCCAATTAAGGATGGGAAATCCTAATTAAGGATTTAAGGGTGGGAAAAAGAATGGAAAATTCCAAATTCAGGGTGGGAAAAAGGGTGGAGAAATCTTAATTAAGGATGGAAAAATCTTAATTCCAGATGGGGAAAAAGGATGGAAAATCTAAATTCAGGATGGAAAAAAAGATGAGGAATCTTAATTAAGGATGGGAATTTTTAATTCCAGATGGTAAAAAGGCTGGAAAATCTTAATTAGGGATGGGAAAAAGGCTGGGGAATCCTGACTGAGGGTGGGAAAGCCAAAGGGGGACCCCAGCAGACGGATCCGGTTGTGATCCCCCGGAATTCTGGGATGAGTTTTGTTTCCACGGCAGCGATTCCCAGGGAGAATTCCTGCCAGGAGTTCCAGGGACAGAGAGTGAGGGGTGAGAAATGGAGGGAAAGGGAGAAGGGGAAAAAGGGGAAAAAGGGGAAGAGGGAAATGGAAAAAGGGAAAAGGGAAAAGGGAAGAAGGAAAAGGAAAAGAGAAAAAAGGGGGGAAGGGAAGGAAAAGGGGAAGGAGGAAAGAGGAAGGAGGAAAAGAAAAAAGGAAAATGGGAATGGAAAAGAGAAAAAAGGATGGAAAAGAGGAAAAGGAAATGGAAAGGAAAATGGGAAAGGAAAATGGGAAAGGAGAAAAAAGGGAGGAAGGAAAAGGAAAATGAGGACGGGAAAGGGGAAGAAGGAAAAGAAAATGGGAAAAAAGGGGAAGGAAAAGAGGAAGAAGAGAAAGGAGGAAAAGGAAAATGGGAAAGGAAAGGAGAAATAAGGGAGGAAGGAAAAGGAAAAGGAGGAAGGGAAAGGAGAAAGAGGAAGAAGGAAAAGGGAAAAAAGGGGAAGGAAAAAGGGAGGAAGAAAAGAAGAAAAGGAAAAGGAAAAGGAAAAGGAAAAGGAAAAAAGGAAGAAAGGAAAAGGAAAAGGAAAAGGAAAAGGAAAAGGAAAAGGAAAAGGAAAAGGAAAAGGAAAAGGAAAAGGAAAAGGAAAAGGAAAAGGAAAATCCTCTCCATGGATTTGTGCCCCACTGCTTCAATCAGAACCTGCAGCAGAGGGGAAAACCCAAATTTCCAACCAAAATCTCCGTGTTCCTGCCCTCTCCGCACGGAATTTCCGGGAGCAGCTCCTCCCTTCCCTCTGGAAAAGCTGAGCCGCCGTCGGATCCGTCCCTGGCGGGAAGCCAAAGCCATTAAAAATCCATTAAAGCCATTTTTCCACCCAAATTGGGCTCCCCCATTTACCTGCCACGATCGCAGCCCCGGGCTCGGCGCTTTCCCGGGAAAAGCAGGCGGGACACAGCGGGAAGCGCAATTCCCTCAGCGGCGCTGACGCATCCCAGGGTTGAGAACTCTCCGGGTTTATTTTAGGAAAGGTTTTGGGTCGATCTGGGAGAATATTGAAGAAAATGTGGATTTTGATCCCGCCCGGAGTTTTGGCGGAAGGGTTGGGAGGGGAGGTGGAGATGGAGATGGGGCGCAGACGGAAAATTGTGAATAAACGGCAAAAAACGGCAGTAAAACACCCAAAATAAACAGCAAAACATTACAGTTAAATACTCAAAAAACTACAAATAAACACCAAAAAAATGCAATTAAACACCCAAAATCAACACCAAAAACTGCAGTAAAACACCCAAAATCAACACCAAAAACTGCAGTAAAACGCCCAAAATAAACACCAAAAAAAGCTATTAAACACCCAAAATCAACACCAAAAACTGCAGTAAAACACCCAAAATAAACACCAAAAACGGCAGTAAAACACCCGAAATAAACACCAAAAACTGCAGTTCAACACCCAAAATCAACACCAAAAACTGCAGTAAAACACCCAAAATAAACACCAAAAACTGCAGTACAACACCCAAAATCAACACCAGAAACTACAGTTCAACACCCTAAATAAACACCAGAAACTGCAGTTCAACACCCAAAATAAATGCCAAAAAGTGCATTTAAACACCCAAAATAAATCCCAAAAACTGCAGTTCAACACCCAAAATAAACACCAAAAACTGCAGTTCAACACCCAAAATAAACACCAAAACCTGCAGTTCAACACCTAAAATAAACACCAAAAACTGCAGTTCAATACCTGAAATAAAGACAAAAAACTGCAGTTCAACATCCAAAAAAATCCAATTAAACCCCAGAAAAATTCTAATTAAATCCCCCAAAAATTCAAATTAAAGCCCCCCAAAAATTCCAATTAAACTCCAAAAAATTCCAATTAAACCCCCAAAAAATCCTAATTAAATCCCAAAAAATTCCAATTAAATCCCCAAAAAATCCTAATTAAATCCCAAAGATCTCCAATTAAACCCCCAAAAAATTCCAATTAAACCCCCAAAAAAATCCCCAATAAACCACAAAAAAATCTTCAATTAAACTCCAAAAAATCCCCAATAAACCACAAAAAAATCTTCAATTAAACTCCAAAAATCCTTAATTAAACCCCATAAATCTCCTATTAAACCCGCCAAAAATTCCAATTAAACTCAAAAAAACATTCCAATTAAACCCCCCAAAAATTCTAATTAAACCCCCAAAAAATCCCAATTAAACCCCCATGAACCAAATTCTCCACCGAGGGAGAATCCAGGGCCGGAAATTCCATTTCCAGGTGGTTTCTCCTGGGTTTTTTTCGGGAAGAGAGGGGACAAAAAACCACTTGAAAAGAGGGAATGGAGAAATTCCTCCCGGATAAAACCGAAACTCCTCGAGGTTCATCCCCGTGGATAAGGAACAGAAATGGAAAACCACCAAAATTTGGGATAAAATGAGATTTTTTGGGGAGTTTTCCCCAAAAAGTGACTGTACAAATAAATAAAGTTTTGTCTTTTTAAATAAAACCGTTCTGGGAAACGAATCCGGGAATTTCCGGGAATTTTCTGACGAAGAATTCCAGAGGTGGACGGAGCTCCTCGGCTCCTGCGAAAGCAGGGACTCGATCCCTGCTGAGATAAAACCAGGAAAAAATCCAAAATTCAATATTTATTATCCCAGATCCGTGGGAACGCTGGAAATTTAGGGAGGAGAGCTGGGAATTCCCTTGGGAAATTTTTTTCCATGTCCTGGGCTTTAAATTCATGGGAAAAAAATCCCATTTTGGGGGTTTTTAACCTCGGAATGGTTTGGGTGAACCTTCAATCCCATCCCGATATCCCAGGGTGTTCCGGCTTTTCCTTGGACGTTCCCAGGGATTCTCTGGGAATTCCAGCCCAGCCCCTCCCCACCCCCCCAGGCAGGAATTCCTTCCCAAGATCCCCTTTCCCAGTGGGAAGCCATTCCCTGGCTCCTGGCGCTCCAACCCTTTCCCAAATCCCAGCTCTCCTGGAGCCCCTTGAGGCTCGGGAAGGGGCTCTGAGGTTTCCCCGGAGTCTTCCAGGTGAACATTCCCAGCTCCTGGAAGGACTCTGAGGAATTCCAAACCCTTCCCTTCTCCAGGTGAACATTCCCAGCTCCTGGAAGGGCTCTGAGAAATTCCGAACCCTTCCTTTCTCCAGGTGAACATTCCCAGCTCCTGGAAGAACTCTGAGGAGTTCCTGACCCTTCTCTGCTCCAGGTGAACATTCCCAGCTCCTGGAAGAACTCTGAGGAGTTCCTGACCCTTTTCTTCTCATTCCCAGCTCCTGGATGGGGCTCTAAGGGTCCTTCCCTTCTCCAGGTGAACATTCCCAGCTCCTGGAATGACTCTGAGGAATTCCTGACCCTTCCCTTCTCCAGATGAACATTCCCAACTCCTGGAAGGGCTCTGAGGAATTCCTGACCCTTCTCTGCTCCAGGTGAACATTCCCAGCTCCTGGAAGGGCTCTGAGGAATTCCTGACCCTTCCCTTCTCCAGATGAACATTCCCAGCTCCTGGAAGGGCTCTGAGGAATTCCTGGACCCTTTTCTTCTCATTCCCAGCTCCTGGATGGGGCTCTAAGGGTCCTTCCCTTCTCCAGATGAACATTCCCAACTCCTGGAAGGGCTCTGAGGAGTTCCCAAACCCTTCCCTTTTCCAGTTGGGACATTCCCAGCTCTTGGATGGGGCTCTAAGGGTCCTTCCCTTCTCCAGGTGAACATTCCCAACTCCTGGAATCACTCCACAGAATTCCTGACCCTTCCCTTCTCCAGGTGAACATTCCCAACTCCTGGAAAGTCTCTGAGGAATTCCTGACCCTTCTCTCCTCGGCCATTCCGCCCAGGAATCAGGGCTGCTTCAGATTCATGGCAGGGAAAACTGGGAGAGCATTAAAAAATTTTTTTTAAAAAATAAATAAATCAACTTTTAAACTCCAAACTAAACCCAAACCAAACTCCTCCTAAACCAAACGGTCTCCTGAGGAGAGGCGGCCCAAGCCATATCCATGGTAACTTGGAGCCGTTCTCCGGCACAATCCCGTCGGGATCCGACCACCCGGGAAGCGCCATCGATCCGTCCCCGGCGCGGGGAGCTGCCTAAGGAGGGGAAAGGGCTCTGTGGGCACGTTCCCTGTGCGGGGGGCAGAGGGAAGGCAAGACCTCCCGGGTCCCCAGGATTGACTTTCCAATTAATGGAGTTGGTCACAAGTGCTGGTTTGGCACTGAAGCTTTTCCCTGTTTGGAATTTTCTTGCCCGGCATCGTGTCCCTGCGCTTCCAGCTCCAATTCCTGATCGCTCCGTGCCCTGCTCCTTGTCCGTCTCCCCAGCCCTTCGCAAGCTGACCCCGAACTTCACCTCAAAGCTCCCTGTCCTGCTCCCAAACTCCCCATTCCAGGTTATTTCTCCGTTATCCAGTACAAATCCTACACCTCCCTCTTTCCCCCCCGCTTCTTTCTCAGCCCCTCATCCCCCTTCTCCCTGTGCTCCTTGACACCGTCCCAAATTTATCCCTTAAACTACATCAATTCCTTCCCCAACCCCTCAATCCTTCCCCCTTCAAACTTCCTACCCCCCTCCCCAAATCCCC